CTGCTGATCATTGCTATCCTAAACTACACGAGGGAGATCAAGTAAGAGAGATTGTTTTAATAACCTTCTTGACATTTGGTTTAAATGTAATGGAAAATGTAAGTGTATCTTAAATGATTTTTATAGGTTTTATTTATTAATGGTGTTGACATAAGTGGATTGCTTCATGAACAAGTTGTCAATCTAATAAGAGCTTCTAGAGATTCTGCATCTCGTGAATTGATACTTACGGTTCGTCCAAATGGTGAGTTGTTTTTTTTTTTTTTAAATTTTATTTTATTTACTTCATTGTGGTTCAGCATTTTTCAGGCTTTTTGACTCGACTAAAACAGTTGAGTGACTGTCAAATGTGAATACCTCTAAAGTATCGGTATGGAGGTATGCATTTAGTAGATTAGAAGTATGGGTTTTCAGTTAGAGATTTCTCTAGCGATTTACATCATTCCAATATCATCTCTAAAAAGAATACTATAACAATTGGTACTAATCATGACAAAAAGCTGAGGAGAATATGCATGTGCGAAAATTGTTTTTAAATAGATGCTAGGTCAGACCATAAATACCAAATTTTAAAGAACTAAACTTTCATCACTCGACTCATATTAAATTAAATATTAATGAAAGAATTATGCTTAAAATTAGTAATTCTAAGAAGGAAGCTATAAATTGTGATTTTCTTGTATTCTAAGTAAATAAATTAATTACTTGTGAACATTCTGCAGTGTGGAACGACAAAGAGAACATTAGAACATTAGGGAGTACAGCAGCTCCCGAACAAGTTAGCCAAGAGTTGTGAAATAAGTGCTAATAATTTCTACATGTTACTTCCTCACCTCGCTCACCAATATGGTTTGACCTCGATGAGTGTAAAAAAACTGCTCCCATGACTGGATAGACTATAGCAGTATTTGTTTGGTGAGGGGTTATCCGTAAATTATATAACACAAATTTGGAGAATTTTTGTTACCTCCCATATTGAATTTGTGATAAGTAAACATCCTTTGTAACAGGAACTGACAACTTCACTTTTGATAATGGCTGAATTTAATTTTCTTTAACATTGAGTGAATCAAGAAGAGATTGTGAGAGAAAGGAAACTTCATTGTAAGGCCATCCCCAGATGTACCACAAAAACATGCAATACCTTGATCTCTGACAAGACTTTGAAGGGTACCAATAAATGAATATATTTTAATCTACCTTATGTACAAAGCTGCTTAATGAGATCATGTCAGCGATTTTCTTCTCGCTGCCATTGATTCTTGTGGACTAAATGTGAACTCATTCCTTCGAATGATTGTAACATACCGAGGGGTTTGCTTGGACATGACATGAAAGAGAGACTCAACCAATGTGGTTGCCAGGGCTGCTGCACTGCCCTGCGCCGCGAGGATTGAAGACTGCTGAGTTGCTTTGCACTGTGCCATGATCGCTTGAGACCTGATTTTCCTATGTCCACCGTATTTCATTCTTTTTTGTGATGTTTATTATTCATCAAATGCCATGATAAATTTGACTTCTCAAGACCTATCTGTTCAAAAAGAAAAGTGTTCCATGTAAAAAAACTAAGTTAGTATGTATCTTTAAAATAAAAAATGCTATCAAAAAGCTTGTAGGTTGTTCTAAAGCCTTTGTTGAAAATTCCATCCCAATATCGGGAACCATTTAGAGAATATTCAAGGTGGACAATTTTATTAACTAACCCTGGATATTCAAACACAATGTCTACTGCATAAAACACAACATAGTTCCAAGATTTTTCTTAAGTAAATTGATTTATTTTTGTCGTGCAGTGTATGAAGCTCAAGAGGAAGAAGAGCCTCCATATCAATATGTTCCTGATGTACCTCATTTAGCTGGTGCAGCTGTGGATAGAGCTGATGCGCTGGCGCAGTCCATGCTCCTGTTAGCTGATGGACTGGAGAGTGGTGCTCTTGTCACTCAATTTGAACAGTTGTATCGCAAGAAACCTGGTTTAGCCACTAACGAAGCGAAGAAAAATGATAATGCTAACAAAAACCGTTATCGGGATATATCTCCTTGTGAGTTTCTTCTCTCTTAGTTGCACGTTTTGTTTTTCTTTGTAAAGTAATGTCTTACTTAATCTTGTTATGCTAGAAATAATGGAACGGGAGCCTGCCATTTATTATTTTTCAGTCACTTCAGAAATTGGTTATTGTGTAGTAATTTATTTTCATTTCTAAAATAAATTATGAAAGTCTTTCATTGAAATATGCTTTGTAGTTTATTCTCTGATATCCTTGTATATTTATGTATTTGCAGGAAGTTTGCATGTTGTACAGAAATGAAGGACAGACTTTAACTTCAATGTCATAAAATTATAATTGTATTTATTGCTTTCTCTAGTTCATGCAAGATTCATTGGAAAAGATAATTAGTGTTAAAAACATAATCAAAGTAAGCGGTTCAGGAACAACTTATGCAGAAAACCCTTTTTGGTAAAATAAAATCTGCATCTCTTTCACCTACAGTGTAATTATTTTCTTGGGGTGTGTTCCCTTGCATGTTTCAACAGTTATATCTTTGTTGTCTACATGTACAAAGCTCTAGTTAATTGGGATATTTTAATTCTAAACTTGGGTAAAAGGGAGAATTATTTAATAATCCAGATCGAACTATTCTCTAAACTTGATTTTCTTGATTGACCATCAATAAGCACTGAAAAATAGAAACTTCCAAAACTTGAAAGTTTTGCATAAAGAATAAATTGAATTTTGATACTTTTATATTACTGAAAATCTTTTTCTTTTTATAGATGATACCACAAGAGTTATTTTGATGAGTGGTACATCTGGGGATTATATCAATGCAAATTATGTTAACATGGAAATAAGCGGATCAGGAATTATTAACAGATACATAGCCACACAAGGTATTATTGTAATTACAATGAAATTATCTTGTTCATACGATGCGGTTTGCACATGAGAACTTACTAGTTGTATTCTCAGGTCCTTTACCTAATACTGTTGCTGACTTCTGGCAAATGGTTGTGGAGGCTCAGAGCACTCTTGTGGTGATGGTTACACCTATTCTAGAAAGGGGTCGCATAAAATGCCACAAGTACTGGCCATCTCTTTCTCATACTATGGAACTGGCTCATCTGCATCTGACTTGTACGAAGGAGGAAGAGGAACCTTCTGGAAGTCTTGTTTTTAGAGAATTTCGGCTCACGAATTTAGAGGTAGTGTGTGTACATATCTTCTAGTAATAGTTGTGCATGAGAGAGAAATTTCATTTGATTATCAATGTTGATAATGGATGTAGAGATGGATTGAAGACACACAAATTACTAAGGCTTCAATGATGTGTGCAACTAAATATAGTTTTCATATGCTATGAATTTAACTGCTTTGAATAATTTACTTCATTGTGTACGAGTTTCTGCTATTTTGGTCATAAAAAAGCAAATATATACTTAAGAGATCAATTTTTGTATTATAGATATTTATAGGTGTCTATCTCTTTAAGTATATCTGAAACACATATGTGCTTCATTTTCAACAAGCATGGGGATTGTTCGGGTCAGTCATAAACTTTATCAGAGGCTAGTGTATAAAAGTTTGAAAAGTATATAGCAAATGCGTTAGCTAGAGACTGGATTTCCGTAATGTATTCCAACCAAGTACATAGAATTCTGAAGACCTTTATCAGATTTTTGAGAATTAATATATTTTCAGAAGTTTGTGATACTTGAAGTGATGAATTGCTCCAGATGAATATTTTGCAGCAAAATCTCTCGCGACCAGAGGTTTAAAAATCCGTTTAAGGTCAGAAAATGTTGTGAGCCAGAACTCTTTTAATTTAAGTGAGTCCCTTTCTTCGGTAACGGTTTGCATTAGCTCACTGCTATGCCGAATAAAATAAATAAAATTATTATATTCTCCAATCAATCTGGCTGATGTTGCGGCCTTCTGAATTTGAAACCAAATAAAATAAAATCACTTGCATAGGAAATTGTATGAGATGTGCGATGATTACAATATGAAATAAAATAAAATCACTCATAGAAATTTTGCTGTACATGTGGTGCCACATGTAAATGATCCTCCAGCAGTCTATGTGTGTAACCATAGTACCTTTCTTTTTTAATTTATTGAATATCAAAACTAGTTAAGAACTGTGTGCTGAATAGAGAAGTAGTGCCATATGTGTGTGTCGCAACCTCTGAGTAATACAGAAGTTACCCCAAATTATGAGGCAGAATGTAAACAATTAAGAACAGAAGCTTTTGATATAAAACAACTTCTGAAGAGAGACCATTTTAAAAAACAAAAGATTATAAAAATGAAAATGCATAAATAATTGTGAACACCAACCAGTTCGAAAGCACTTCCATGGGGCACAGAATGGTGGTTGTATAACAAAGATTAAATTTTTGCTAACAAAAATGAAGAAACTATGGATTGAGACCATTATGATGTGGTAGAAGCAGAGGGAAGAAGGGAAAAGGCTTCATCATCTTTTAAATGAAATTAGTTTGTTTGTGTCCCTTTAATGAAATTCTGAAACTAATGTGTTGTTTGGTGTAGAATAATTACCTGGGTAATTCCATTATTCTTGGACTTGGTAAATTATGCATTGAATTTCTAAATGAAGAAATGTAATCGCTAAGAATGAGGTACCATAATAAAATGAAATAAAAATTAAATTATCTTTTAACACTTAATTACATTACTTCCTGCTTCCTGGAGCAAAGAAGACAAGTCTCAATTCTAAGTAAATTCAAAAACTTCATAAGTTGTTTTTTTTAATAGCAATGAATAAAAATAAAATAAACAATTGTTTATGCGATGGAGTAATTCCATTTGGAAAGGTTTACCAGCAAATTTTCTTACTATAAGTTTTTTAAGAAATGACGTTTAGAGATATTAATTGTCTGTGGAAATGTGGGTAGTTTATTTTAGTATATGGGATGAGTGAATACCATTAGCTTATTATATTTTCTTAACATTACATAATGAATCCTTGTTGTGCAGACAGAGGAGGAGCGACATATAACCCACATGCAGTATTTGGCATGGCCAGATCATGGGGTTCCAGAAGACTCTGCCCAGTTCCTTGATTTCACTCAGAGAGTTCGGCGTGCACGTACTGGAATGGTGGAACCAACCATAGTACATTGTTCTGCTGGTATTGGCAGAACTGGTGTTTTGATCTTAATGGAAACTGCAATGTGTCTCATTGAAGCAAATGAGCCTGTTTACCCATTGGACATCGTTCGAACAATGCGTGATCAACGGGCTATGATGATACAGACTCCTGTAAGTACTTCTGAATTGTTATTCCTTCATTTATTATTATTATTATTATTATTATTATTATTATTATTATTATTATTATTTCTATTTCTATTATTATTATTATTATTTCTATTATTATTTCTATTTCTATTATTATTATTATTATTATTATTATTATTATTATTATTATTATTATTATTATTATTGCTTTGTTTCTGAATATATTTTGGGAGGGGGAGAGGAATTCAAATTTGAAATGCATTTTACATGGTTGACTTTATTCTAGGATGATTTGCCCAAAGGCAAATTTTTAACTGGGAAGTTCCCATTGATATTGCATATTATGAGTTAGTTAATAGTAGGGCCTGGATTTTTTAATCTTGTTAATGTGAATAATTGGGAAAAGCATGCCTGCTTCTTGGTCTTTACTAACTAAAAATTCATACTTTCTACATGCATGCTGTACCACAGCAAAATTAAATTCTTTTACCATCAGTGCCCACTAAACTCAGTCTGTCATTTTTGGTGATTTTTGTCCCTTCTTTTCTTTCCCCCCCAGTGATTGAGTTAATACGATACTTCAATTTATGAATTTCAACTAGTAACCACCAAATCTTAACAGATTTTTCATTGCATTTGTACTCTTTAATTTGGAACTTGAAATTCTGTATGAACTCACCATTTCTGAAGTAGTGAGTAAATAGCTTAGAGGCATCAACCCAATACCAGTGAACATGCAAAGTCTTAAACAGGATGGGCTATATTTCTTAGAAATTCTGAACATCTCGAGCCTCTTTTTTTAAATTATTCATCATCTGAAGGAAAACAGGATTCAACTTCTTTATAATGCTTTCATGTTTGTTTAATTTTTAGCATATATTTACATATAAATTTTAATAATTTTTATCACTTCAATAAAATATTTTTTTATTTGTAATTGGCTGGTATTAGTATTGGGCTGGGGACTTCCCATGATAATTTTTCTGAAAGAGGTTTGTCAATAAAAGAAAAAGTCGTTATTACATACTCTCTTCTCCCTCGATTTTACTATAATCTCCTTTGTGTTTAATGCTTCACACAGGAGTAGGTAGCAAGAAGTTAATACTGAATTTCATTGTTTCTGCATTAAATTGTTGTAATCTGGAAACCGAAAAGGTTTCTAGACAGAAGTAAAACTAAAGAACGTAATGATTTAGGGAATGTAATGATTTTGTTTAGTGTAGTCCGGTTAGGGAAAGAAAATTTTCTATTCATTGTTTTCATTGTAATTTGTTTTAGGGCCAGTATCGATTTGTTTGTGAAAGCGTTCATCGTGCCTATAGTGAAGGTATTGCTAAACCATTGCCAGAATTCCAGAGATGAGGGTCAGTCACCGCACCAGTATAAAGAATTATTGAGGATAGCATGAGAAATGACACACCATGAAGAGCTGAAGTTTTTCTTTTCTTTTTTTTGTTGCTTTTCTACTGTTACAAGTAAATAGATCCAAAGGATGTGTACAGTATGTGATAATAATTTTTTGTATGTAATAAATACTTATGTTTACCTATATTGTCTAGTGCAGTAAAATTTGCATTTGGTGCTGTGCTTGTAAGCAAGTCCTGTGCAAAACATGTAGTTTTATATTCAAGTGTGCTAAACAAGATCTTGTTAGTTCTTTGTATAACTTTATAAATGAGTCTTGAATATTTAGTCACTTGACAGAATGTCCAATTAAATAGCATACACCGGCCCACACTGGTCCACATGTCCAAACACACCATCCATTTATTGAGTATTCTTTTATAATAGCTGTTGCATATATAACAATTTGTTCTAAATGTAACGTATAAATTTCCTGAGTCTTTTCTGTCACAGGAATTGAAACACAGTAATGGATAATTCTGAAAATTAATCTGTAAGTTATGTACACTGAATAACTTAGCACTACTATGTTAACTATGTATGGAAAATATCTGCTGATCTTTATTAGTGCCTTTTATATGCCCAGATGTTCATCACCAATGTGTCTTACTACTACAACAGAAATTTGTCATCTGTTGTTTGTTTGGGAACAATATTCCTTCAAAGATTTTTACTTGGGATTTGTTTTTCTGAATTAAGTCAAGAAATGCTCTTTACACAGAACTGACGAATGCATTTAAAATTACCACTTAAATTCAATTTAAATTCTGTCACATTGAGATTTACACAATACATCAACCATCATAAGTGTATTTTCAAATGTACTCAAAATTTTGCTACTCGAATAGATTTTTTGGAGAAACACATTGTTTCTGTCCAAGGTATGGAATTTTACTATTGAAGACAGAAATGTTCTTTGTTGCTGAAAGATAAATAAAATAACCATTTATCTAGTGATCAGAGCTACAAAAAGAGGAGGATGGCATAACAGGGAAGTGAGAAGTGGGCTGAAAAGGTTTTGTCAGTAAACGCACAATCAGCAGATGAAATTTCAAACCCTTCATAGTTATCACAGTAATCTACAATTATTTTTACTACATTTGCATGTAGACATAAAATTTACAAGAGAGGCCTTACAGATAAAATCACTTGTCACACCAAGCATTTTCCCAGGAAGACTTCTTTTGATATTGTTTTTGATACCATTGTACCCACTTTTTATAGTAAGCATATTATATGCACTGACTCAGCATGACAAATGCATTTTCTAAAGATACATTTTACTATATCTCTTTTGGGAACTAGATATTTCTCAATGTCATGTGAGAGAATATATAATAACGAATTAGGATAATTTGGGTAGTTGCAAAAATACATATTATGTCAAAATCTATCTTAATGCTATAACAAGAAAAGCATTTCCTAGTTTTCAGAAGTATTTTTAAAGTGATTTATTGCAGTAATTGGTTTTATGGACAGACAATTTAGGGAGAAGCCTTGTTTGTATTTGAAAGGAAGTAATGCCCCTTCAATACCTTGACTAAATCTTCCCCGTGCTTTCACAATCTTTTATTAAAGAAATACAAAATCTCTCTGGTAAGAGAACCTTGCACATGTGTGTGGCTTCACTTCTGAGCCCCCAGAAGTGACAATGTTTATATGAACTTTTGCCCAAACTCCAAATTGTTCATCAAAAAGAAATGAGTATATTGGATAGAAGCTTGGCGTCTCTCATTTACATTACTAAATTTTGGTTCTAAAAGTGACCATTCTGTTTTGTTTTGTGACCAATTTGTTTTACGATTTGGGTTGAATAATTGAAATTGTTACCTTCAAGATAAGATTTATATTGATTTTCTGCTCATAGTAACAAAAATACCGACGTATTGTGTATTTGAATCTTCAGAGGGGTAATGAAATACAAGGCCACACCGTTATGTGCCTGTCAGGTGTCCAAGGTGGTTGGAGGGGCTAAGCACACTTGCAAGAAGGGCAAGTGCTATCATCTAGGTTTTTGGATAAGTTGTTGTGCTATAAATTGTTTTTTGTATTTGCTTTTCCCTGTCTATGGATTAACTCATTGTTTGTTTATATAATGTAATTTTAATGTTCTCAACACACATTTGTGCTTATACAGTATGTATAGTGAAGTGCAAGGCATTGAAAGCACTGATCATTTGAGTGATGAATTAAATTTTTGGATAATATGCACATATCTCTTTTGACATACTGTCGTCCGTGTCATCTATTGCAGTGCCTTGCACAGTTCAGTTGCAAAGGAGTACAAAATGTTTTAAAAATACATTTATGATAAAGGTATTAAGGAAATAATTAATTTGAATAGTTGTTTGAAAATCTGCTTGGACATTCTTTTTATTTCTAGTCATAATTGAAGTTCACTGTAATTCAAAAGAAAATGAATTGCAGATGGAATTCTAAAACTTACAAATGTCATGCTGGTGTTCCACTATGTGATAGGAAAACAAATAGTGATTTAGTATTGGTTACACTGTCTTTGGGTAAGATGTCATTATCTCTCTTGAGATTTGGTAGATAATAGAATAAATGTGTGTTTTTTGTATATGAAGTTCAAATTTGTATTATGAGATTTAAGACCACCAGTATTGTTGCATGTAATTTTGTTTAAAATTTTCACCTGAGTCTGTAAGCATAGTGTATTCTGAGGACTATTTTGAACATTTACTGTAGTTGTAATATTTGTGTGAGAGAAGTATCATTGAACTTCAGACAACACAACTTCAATGTACAAATCCAGGCCTCTTGCTCATTGTTCAGTAATTTAATTACCAATTACAGTTGCCATAGCAACATATTGTTTTCATGCAAATTATAGTTCTTTTTTATATAAATTGTGGCATAGCCATGATAGTGTAGTGTACATTTATTAAATTATTGTAATGAAATTCTGTACTTGTAGATTTTGTAAATTATTATTATTTTAACTGGACAAACTTTTATTTCAATATGAAACCAAACATTGTATCTGCATTTGTAATTTGTATTCAGGTCTTAGTAGCTTGGTGCAATCAATAAGCAGCTAGTGTTATTGTATGTAACTTGATTTCTACTTTTAAATAGTGAAATGATGTGGAACCAACCTTGATAATTTCATTGTTACTTAAAACATTGTTTCCATATCCCAAACTCACTAGCAGTCTGCAATCTTGAATGCAACATTAGATTTTGCATTATGATGGTTACGAGTTGGTGAATACAATAGCAGCAGCTGTAGTAATAGTAGTGTAAATAATGCTGCATGTCTGCTTTGGTGCCACCTTTTGGTGTATTTCAGGATGTGTACATTAAGAAAATGAATCTATTTTTCTTGATTTTTGACCAAGTAGTAAACGTCCACAAAAAGTGATTCATAATCTGTCTAGTCTTTCATCTTTGCTTTTTCCTAATGGGAATGATTTAAATCACTTACGTAAATAACCCATTGCTTATTCAGATTTATGATTCCTTATTTCTGTTTGTTATTGTTTTTAGTTTTCTTGCAATTTTTGGCATTCACTTGCCACGTTTCTTTTCTCAAATACGAAATCAAAACTTGATTTGATTGCATGACTTTTTTAAATTGCTTTCATCTATTTACTGACATGACAAAGTATGATAAATGTGTGTTAAACATGTTTTAAATTAATTGTGAAACAAACATGGCAGATGTGCAGTTTTCTTTTGTGAATTAATATCTTGTATTTCTGCCAGTTGTGTGGTAAAGTCCATTCAATATGACATAACCTATTGTGTAAAAATAGCTTGATTGGAAGAAAACCGATTTCATTATGTGGCGTACAGCAATATGTATGAAATTCAACGGTCTGTTTAAATAATCCTGTGTGAAATAAGTCGGAGAATAATACATTAATGTGTATTAGTAAATGTGGAATGTGATTGCCTGTATGAAAAATTGAAACATAATGGCATTTGTATAAAAATGCAGCATTATGCTGTCATTTCTGAAATCTTATTGTTCTGTAGATTCAAATTAAATGTGACAGCTATTCTACAAATTTTTTATATATAAAAGGGGCAAAAGTTTTCTCTTTAATTGAACATGTTAAATTTTAATGACTTGAAATAAATTTAAAACAAAACTGAAAATTTTCTCCAGAGTTTATATTAATGTTTTATTGCCTTCAAAAATATATTCCTAAGCAAATATTGTACTAAAATACATTTGCCACATTATTGTCGACTTTATGAGCTGCAATTTATAAATGAGGCTGACTTCAAATATTTTCCACAAGATGTGCAAAAGTCAGTAGACTGCAAAATAACTTCCACAATAAACTAATAATAAGTTATGCTAAATTTTTTAAAATTTGTAGTATTCATAAATGTTTCAAAATATAAAACTGATACTACTTACGTGTTCAAGGCTTGTATATGGTTCTTTTAGAGTACAGGGAGGGTAAAGTGCCCAGGGTTCGTAGCAGCTGGTTTCTTGATCTCAGGTGATAATATATTGGTGCAATGTGTAGAATAGATTAAACTGAATGTCATATGTTCTTATATATTTAGTGTAAAAAGTAGATAATCTGATGTACTCTAAAATACCTTTTGCCTAGCAGTGACATAAAGTAAATTCTCCAAATTGGTTGTATATGAATCAGTTACTTGCATAATAATCATATTTCAATTCCGTGCTGAATCTGAAAATATTTTTGCTTTTTATAATATCGGTAGTCTACTCAAGGGTTAATTGAACAAGTTCCAATGATTTAAAGGATCGTTGAATGATAATTAGGGGGCGGATTTTAATGAAATATTTTGTTTCTTTTCACTTTAGAACAATGTCATTTAGTGGAGAAATTCATTGTATGTTACAAGGAAAAGAAATGACTAATTTTTTGTAGATTTTGACTAGTCTTTTTTTAATGTCATTTTTCATTGACTTTAATATTTTAATGTTATTTGCTTCAAACAATATTTACGAGGTGCAACAAATGATCATCACAGAATACCTGAGTAGCCTATTTGATTTATTCGCTCATATATTGTAATGTCAGCCGTTGTGAGTACTTTGTAATCTAAAGTTTCTGTGATGTATATCGGTGCCATTGTCAGTTCAGCCAATTTTGCAATAAATAAGGCCGTGATATTCTTTTAACAGTCCAAACCTAAGTTTTTAAGCTGAGTTCACTTGAACAAAAAAAGAAGCTTATTACATTACATATCCAGCAGCTTGAATGATTCATCTGAAGTGGTTTACTTAAAAAATTTACATCATTTTTCATTGTTTTTAGGGCATTTTTAAAGTATTTTAAGAGCATTTTGTTGATAATTTTTGGCAATGTTTTGGGTCATCAAAATCCGCCCCCTAATGATAATATATCTCATTTCTGATCTGATTTGAGGAAGAGTACAACATAACAATTCTAGGATAAGCAATCTGAAATTCCTTTATGGTGTAGCAAATTTTTTGTACGCATTGAATTATTACAAGAACAAAACTTGTTGGAAGTATGTAAACTTTTCAACGAAAGTCCCAACTACAATAACAGACAGGCAGAATGACTGGCAGAATCAGGTTATTTTTCAAAATCTTTCAATGCAGCAGAATGCTGTAGGACCTATAATTTAAAATAACTGTTTTATGAATATGAGTAGTGAACATTGGGTAATGATTATTTACAACCAATTTTTATAAATTTGGCCAAATTTATTAAATTATGTAATTTCATAATTGAAAACAATAGAGAATGAATGTATAGAAAATAGTAATGTGTTATTAAACTATAATTTTCTGTAAATTTTTTTTTATTGAGGTGTGCCAAATATTGTAGTTCAGTGGAATGTGATTGTATGTTTTGATAGTGTGTGGAAGAAAACAGTTAGATTTAGTAATTTCAATTGACTGTTCTCTGGTCATGTACATGAATTAAAGTTTCATTTCTTTAACATATGCTCGAAGTGTTTCTTAATCCTGAATTATAACTGTATGACCCCTGATTGTATTTAGTAGTCGGAACAGAAGTAAGTATTTCAGAAGTCCTATTCATTGGCTTTTTATTTTAATTATTATTTCATGCACTAAAGTACTCTCTGACATCCGCTTCGCCTTATAGCTCATGATTTAATTTAATGTTCGGTTTAGTTTCGTTACGCCACAAGTACATTGTTGCAGTTTTCAAATTGTTAATAATACCAATTCTTATGTACTACTCGCACCACGACCCTTCATAGAACTTCCTAGATTTAAAATCTAGTCTTTCACATGAAAGATATTGGAGTTGCACTCTCGGAAGTCCCGTTCGCGCGGCTATTTGAACTTGTCTTTCGAACTGACGTAAATCTAATTTTCTTCGCAAGTTATATATACGTATTACTATATATTATACCTCATGATCACTCCCCTTAACTATATTAATATCTAACTTAAATACTATACTCATCTTATAACCCGCGCTCCTCTTTCACCTTTATTCTGCGTAAAATGAGAATCGCACTTCGCTTTCGCAGTTTTTTTATTGATATCCGAAACTGCGCATGCTGAAAGTCCTAACCCAAAATACTATGGGATCAAATGGATGAAGTTAAACATTTATTTGAAATATGAACGTTTTCTATAAATCTAAGTCTCTAGGAATGACACTTATTAACAGCATAAGTTTGAGAATGTCGAATCCATTTTTCATCCTATATCAGTACTCGCTTCATGTTTACTAGCTTCCGAGATGAAAAGATGGCCGCAGAAGAAACTTCATATGAAAACTTGTATCATCAGCAGGTGCGATGACAAATTAGTGTCTGATTGTTCTTGTCAACTTACTAATTTGAACGTATTTAAGATTAACAATACTGTAAGATATTATCGGATAACTGACTCCGCTTCATTGTTCGATCACTCAGTCTAACCTGTACTTTTCCCATTGTTTTGCTTTGTGCAGGATTTTGACTGCCAGAGCCCAGGCGCAGTTTCGCAGCCAATTCTGCAGTACCGATCAGAAATACTATCACAAACGAATTCCCCACCTCCGTCGTATCACAATATTCCAGGAAATGCTCTTACTCACGTTACATCCGAAAGAGGAGCTCCACCTTCCTATGAAGAAGCAATTGATCCTAATGGTTGGTGACTGAAACCTTATATGCAGTTTTCATTGTAGAAAAGTGATTATGTTGCACGTTTCTATACCTGATAAGATTTTAGTTATGTTTATTATATTATCAGCCACTGTTATGTTTTCCCATGACAAGCAAATTACAGTCTTCAAAATATCATCTTCCTTGTAACGCATTATCTTATACTTCCTTATAACGCACTTCCTATATTACATGAACATGTCTTTGCACTATTACAGCTCCCCCACCATCATATGATTCACTTTTTGGAAGGGTTCGAGAAGCTCACAAGTCATCAAAGGGAGTTTTTGATTTCTTGAAAAATGTAGTCATTCTTCTTCTTGGAACAAGTATGTATTTTATGTAATTGTAAATTGAAGTGACGATTTAACTGTTTTGTGTTCTTAAAATGAACTATATATTATTTTTTTTTTGTTTTCTTAGTTGGCTGCACGATAATATTGGGTGTAACAATAGTGGTGCCCATATGTATGATAGTGATTGGTTCTGTCTATTTACACGACTGTCCTAAGGGAGAATATATTCCCATTTATCTTCTTGTCGGTGGTAAGTTTTGATTCTATAACTGGTGAGGAAGTATACTGTTGCAATAAAATAGTGTGCTTTTGTAATGATGATTTATCTTGTTAAGTAATCTCACAGATCAGTTTCTAGCTCAGTTCTATAGAGCTTTTTTTATTTCTTTATTACTGTTGTTTAATTTTATAGAAAGAAGTAATTTTATAGAAAAAATATTTAACAACTACTACTTCTGTGATGCTTGAAATAGCATTTTATCCATTGTTTGCATATATATTATATATAATATATATATATATATATATATATATAATATATATATATCTCTAATATATATATATATATATATATATATTATATATATATATATATATATATATATATATAGATATATAGATATATAGATATATAGATATAGATATATAGATATATATATAGATATAGATATATATAGATATATATATAGATATAGATATATATAGATATATAGATGTTATAGACTTCATTATTGTTTCTTAAAAGGATTTATACATACTTGAATATTATTGCAAATGTGATAGGTGGCTTCGGTGTGTTGAAGCAACTACTGCACTTGTCTGCAAGAGTTCGCCAACGTGAAGAGGAGCAAGAAGAGGAAAGGTTAAGGCAGTCCCCTACCCAGACTCTCATCAATTGTTTTATGTTGGGATGGTTTATAATAGGTAGGTGTTTGAAGTAATCTCTTTAGATGTGATCTTAAAACATGAATTTTTGTGGAGTTGAATGATCATTTTTCAGGTTCAGTGTGGGTGTATAAAGTTTATGAACCAAATTATGATCCATCTAAAGGAGTGGATTATTGTAATCGCACTTTATATTTATTTGCATTTTGGCTGATTACATCTGTCTACATCGTGTTGGCCTTCGCCACGATGTGCCTGTGCATAGCTGTTGCATCTATAGCGTTTCAACGAGAGGTGTGACTGGTATGAAATGGGATGCCTGCAGAACTACTGGTAACATTCACCCAAGTGGGCAACAGGAGTTGGAAAGCTTCTTGCTGCTTTCATATGCACATATTGTCATCCGTATGTTTACCTAGAATGTGATATTTAAATATTTGAAAACAATTTTGCTTGGGTTTAATACCGTCAGCCTGAAAATGCATTTGTATTATAGGCAGAAATTAACACCAACAAAATGTATATTTGTCTTTGTAACTTATTGGAAAGTATCTGGGTCCAATTGATGACATCATTTCTTGTGAACTGGAACTATAGACTTGAGGCTCATTTATTTTTGATACAGATGTGTTTGCAATGGAATATGCATTTTGCTTGTCTAAAACATAATTTAACACTGACTATAAATATTACTCTGACATAATTGATCTGACAAGAAGTTTCATCATAATCTACCAATGAATAAGTCTTTTGGTGTTATTTATATTGGAAAAAGAAAGCACTGCTCTTTGAAGACTACATTGGTTTAAAATTTTGGATGGTTTTAGATTCACTTGAAGCACAAGTTATTATTAATAATAATGCTTAAAAGATGTTGCTTGTTTTTGCCACTGTATAGTTCTTTGAACATTTTTACAAATTAAAAATTTTAGATATATGTTTTCTAATTACAGAAAATAACTTGAGTTTATTAATTATTATTGTAGATGAAAACAATGGTGCTTTATCAATGTTTTATGGATATATTGCTCTCTTGTCTTGCAAACACACATTATTACTGAAGACTTTTCTGCACTGATGAAAAATATCTCATCTTTGCAATTACAAAATAATTAAATTATGTTAAGGAAAGTATTACTTACATTGTGGTATATATTATTTTTGTTGCATTTATTATTACTAGATTTTTTGTAAAGAAATAATTGGCTTTCTTTCTTTAGTCTGTGTTAAGCATTTTCTTCTAATGAAACATTTATTATTCCTTCGTATATCTTCTTAGGTTTTTTCTCCCCTGTATGTTATAAAAAATAAAAAGTTCTAGTAGCATGAAGAAAGATGCAGTTGCTGATGTTTGCAATTTATCTTTGTATTGAGATTTTTAAAAATATTTTATAATCGCATAGAAACTGAAAGAAATTTCATTAACCCATTGCACTCGTACAACATCCCAGATGTGACATCTTGGAACGTCCCTCTAGCTCAGAGGTATTAGGAGGTTTTGTACCCTACAGCTCAAATGGCATCTCTTGAATTTCATTATGAATTGGCTCTGACTCAGTCAGCTTGCTCACATGGCAGGCTTCTCACCTCAGCTATATTACCTTCCAACAAATTATCAGTAAAAAATAGCTGGCAAGTATACTGTGTCTTGCTATCTTTTAATTGTAACTGTGATTTAAATTGAATTGAATTTTGGAAACTGGTACCTGTGTTGGACCGCAGAGACCACTTCAGGGTTCTTGTTTTGTTTTGTACTGTCAACAGTATCATTTTCACGTTCTAAATTATATTAAGGATCACTAAATAAAGCATCATCTCTATCATTGCTCTCATCTATGCTTATAATACATAAATTTGAAAACCATTTTGAATTCTGTGTTAACCATACTAACACAAAGTGACTGGCTCAAATCAAAAACAAAAGTATTGAACTCTAGATATAAATATTTCTGAAAACAGAGAAGATTCATCGAAGCAGAATTTCAAAATTAGCATTTAAACTAATTGTTGCATCAATTTATCTTATCAAATAATATATTACTAGAATCATCATCTCTCTGATCCTCTACAAGTTCAGCGGAAAATTGTATGCCATTCAGCAGATGCCTTTCATGTTATGGACAAAGTTGGTGTGAAATATATAGGTATTGGTCCCTTCATCCTACAAGTGACGTTTTTTGTATTAGGACAAAACAATAATAAATAATTTTGAGTGCAAAGGGACTCAATTGGACTAAAAAAAATTGTTGGCCATTTTGTTAAGATCTCTTGATATGTGTGATGATGTATACTTGATTTGTATTCATCCCCACTCAGTCAGTCAGCTTCCAGATTCTCTTACAGACTGCATTATTTCTTAGATTTTGAGAGGGGGGGGGGGTAAATGTAGATTAAGTATGTTGTGTTGCTCCTTGCACTTTGTTGCCAAATGAGATGAGAGCCTTTCTTGCAGAGCATTGTTTCATATTCTAGGAGCCGTAGCCATAATTAAAATATTTGATTATATTATTTCTTGTTGTAACTGCCACATATCCACTTTCAATTAAAATATTTGAGTGAAATTAATTTATTATTGAAATCATATGTAATTTATAAGGCTTATGTTAAGGAGTTTATGTGGGAATGTTTATATCTTTCTGTATGATGAATGAAGTGCTACTAGATTGCTTAGATAGTAGTGACAAGGAAAGTTTATTCACAGTTCATTGTTATTCAATAAACATACAATATCCTTTTGCTTATAAAAGTTTTTTTATATGATGTCATCTTTATAAATGTAAATATATGTATTTATAGAGCATCTCACCAACTTAAATGGACACGTTCAGTAACTTGTAATCAGTACATGATGTTGAAAAACAGATTTTGTACAATAACATGACATTGTGCACAAGTAATTGTCAAGTGATTATTCATTATAATTTTATTGACAATTTTATTGACAAAGGTGTGTGAAATAAGTGAGAGGCCAAGGCACCATTGGTGACTAATTTTGCTCATTATTGCTTTCTTGAAAAACAAAAGGAAATAACCAGTACCACATGTAGTTTCATATAGCACAAAATATACTATTGTGAACCCACTTGTAATTTTTAATCATTAACAAGTGATGTATCATTATTTTGTAGATTTGTTTTTTGCAGATGAAAAACCATAATTACATTTAAAGTAATGATTCCTTTAACTCTCATAATAAATGATTACATGCACTTGCAGAATGATGTATCACTTGCCCCAAGATATAATATTGTTGATCAAAATCTGTATTTCGATATCATGAACTGTTTAGATGTTTTAGAAGGTGTTTATAATTGGAGGGTTATATAAATATTACTTCTCATTCAATGTGTCAAGCTCAGTGTCAGCTTGTGTCAAGATAACATTTGCTGCCTTTTTCACAAAAAATTGTATAACAACATTTATACCACTTGTACTGTAAATCTTGTAGGATATTTACTTCATCTGTAGTTATTCTCTTAGTATTCTAGTTTCTCTGTATCTGTAAATAAGAACTATAAATATGAAATGTATTTCAGTAATGAAGCTTACATTTCAGAGAAAGAGACTGATAAATGTTGCTGAGTAGGTAAATATTGTAATAAATTGTAAATTCATGCAGTATATTGCTTTTGTCTTCTTAAATTGTAACTCGCTTCAAGCAGAGGGAAATTTTATAGAGATGTGAGCTGTTATAGAAGTAACATTGAGGCATTAGGCAAGACATTTTAGAAATGAAAGGTGATACCTCATCAGAATTTCCTGATAAATATTAATGTTAATATATAATTTTTGTATTAACTTTTTTTTTTTAGTATGAGTCAAGTAAAATAGTATATTATTGTATGTATATTCAACTGCAATTTTATTTATGTATTAAGAAATTATAATTATGCAAGTGTTCATTGGACTGGAGCAAGTGATCTCTTTTTTTAATGAACAGACTCTTCGAATTTGCTAACTTGATTAGATAAATTAGACAGAAGTTTGCCAACTACTTTTGAATAATTATGTGAAAATATTGTAAGTGGAAGACATTAAACTCTTGGCTTTACTCCCATGCAAAAGGAGCATCAGTTGGGGACAATCATAAAATAAAATAATAAGTCCTCAGTTGAGATGAAACCTACGTCCTTGGTGTATTATATTATAACTGCCAGTACTTTTAGATGCCTAGTGACAGTTATAGAAATGGTTTTTACTGTATTTTCTATCAGAATAATTTAAATTACCAAGATCAAAATGGAAAGTAGAATAATGAGTCTGAAAATTGCATGTCTACAGACCTTAACTTAAAGATAAGACACTTAACAAAATTATTTTTCACCATTTATTAAAGTGAACAATTCATTAAATTAACTATGCAATTTTATTTAGATAATTTTCTCATTTGATCATGTTTGAAAAAGAATGTTTTTGAAACAGTTTTCATAATGCATGTAACCTGAAATTATTTCAAAATCTTAATTCTATGTTTCTAAAAAATAATTCCATTAAATAACCTGAGAAGAAGTAAAATTTATCAGTAAATATCTGTAATATATTTACAATACTTGTTGAATTTGAAAACCCTGGAAATAATAATGTTCTCCCAACATTTATTTTTTCTTCAAAAGTTTGTTTTTATCCTCTGCTGCTGTGAGTGCCTTATCTTAGAATGTGATAGATTGTTCTGTAGGATTTCATTAATGTATTTTATATATTACAATGAACCCTTTGTGATTCTGCTTATAATTTCAAATGTTAACTTCTACTATTTTGAGTTTAATCTGATTCTGGTGTAATGATCCTGATAAAGAAAAAAACAAATTGAATTAAAGGCATGTTAAATGTTGTTACAGGTTGAGTAGCAGGCCATGTTGGTACTGCAGATTTAGGAAATTAAAATCTAGAGAATGTTGGTTCAGTTTGGTTCTGAAATTGAGCCATAGATGAACTGGTTGCTGTAATCCTTACTGATCTTCCACTCTTTGTGCTCATTTTAAGATATACAGAGCATGCCTTCTGCAACTTTATTACATCTCTCCTGTTACTTACCTACATTATTCTAGTAGTTACAAAAAAAAATAGTTGTCCTTCACCTGTGTATACACTTATATCCGTGATGTGATGTTTTAAGAAAATTCTTGTTTTCATGTATTGTTCTAGGTAGTTTCATCACAGTTTGTGCCATTCCCATAAGATTTTTATACATGTTTTATGAGAGTATTTATTGGTGTTCTGTATTTAGAAACTGCATGATAACTGATCAAATTGTTATTTCTACAAGTAAAATTTAGAAGAAATGTGGAAAAATTGCAGGAGAATATAGTTTTGTGTTTGCTGTTAATAATATGAATAGGTTACATCTTTGAATTTGCTAGAATAAAGTCTATTCTGTTCTTCTGAAATTTTAGAATGTCAATATATTATCCATGAGTAAATAAAAATTCATAAACTACCTCTTGAAATGTACCCAGAAAATTTTATACCCTAGGGTGAAACTGTCTTTAGAAAATAGTATTTGATGAATCTCTATTGTGCAGTTGTCATTTATTTAAACAGAAAAGGGTAATTGTACTAAAGATTTAGGTGAACAACTTGTTTTGTGCACTCTTGATCTAAACAATTATGTACATATTCAAGTTCCTTCAGCTATGTTCTTTCTTTTGTCACTAATGTATCAGTTTTATGTAATTTTCTACAGATAAGTTTTATATTTTATATCTGGTGCATTTTGTACAACCAAATGAAATGTCAATTTAAATTGAACATTAATATTCTTATACTGAACTTATTTGCAATGAATAACCTTCGTATTGTTTGTACCGATGAGTATATTACAAGGTGTAGCAGGAATGCCAATTTTAACCCATTAAAAATTCATTAGCTTTAAGCTTCCAAGCTTTTTAGACTGTACCCATCATCAAATATGCAGTGGTCATAATGGATTATTCTTCCAAAGGCTCCTGCGGTTGTCTTTTCTTCAAAGGTCTTCCCACACTTCCCTTCATATCTTTGCTTTTATGTCCATCTCTGCCTGTTGTTTCTTGATAGTGTCTTAAAAACTTCAATTGTGCTGCATGTAGATATAGTTCCTTTTCCAGAATTTATGTTTCAGATCCATGCTTTAACATCAATTTAGCTGAGAGGAGTGATATTTTAAATTTTGATTCAGGTTATGTACCTGTATTTGCAAAACATGTTTTGTATTCTGCATTTTCTATAATAGTTCTTTTTTTCTTCGAAAGCTACTAGGTGTTATCACATCACTCCGACCGTATTAATCTGATAAATTAATTTGCTTGCTTACTCTACATTTTTGGCATAAATTACAATTCAATTCTCTTTCATTGTTTTCCACGCATTGCATTGACATTTGTTTTCTGAACAAATATCTTTTAGGGAATATTTACAGACAACTTTAATTTGCTGTTTTTTCAAAAATTCTCTAATTCTGCTTTTTGTTTGTCTGTATACAGATAGTGTGTGTATTACTGACTTTTTTTTATTGGAAAATATGGGTTTATTTTCTTGCTTCACTCCTTACCATGTGATTCTTGCATATAGTGAAAACAATAAATATAGATTCATCCTTGTCTAATGCAATTTGTGGTTGATATTCGAGCGATTTACTCCCACTTTTGAACAGAATCCTTGTTGAGAAATTCTCATAGAGTATAATTCCAATGACATTGACTAACGAGTTTCTTAAATATATCTCAAATTTTGATTATTTACTCTGATATGTTTAATATAATATTACATATGCCTCGGGGAAGGAGGGGGTTTAATACTAGTATCTAAAAGAGGTATGCCCAAATCCAGGTCCAGACTCTTCACAGTGGCCCTGCAGTCGCCTGCAGGCCACTCGCCTTCCTCTAGACTACAGCCAATCACATCTGAGAAAACAGCCTCTGTTGGGCGAACTCGACATAAAGTGAGCCAAATGCCCAGTGGCTGGATAAGCAAGTGTTTGGTCAGGGCACCCACTTGATCAGACCTGACCTAGAATTTAAAATTATACATTTTCATTCCTTTTGCCTTCATGACACCTTACTGAACTGTCTTTCTGCAGCCAGTGGTCATTGCTACACCTTGTTTGCTTCCAGTTTGGCATATTTTGTCATAAAAAATTAATAGTTTTTTGAGAATTGTATGTTGCATTTGAAAAGCATGTGATGAGTGCTGACAAACATGGAAAATTTTCAAATTCTGGAAATGTGAGGAAATTAAAAACAGATCAAATAACTGATTCATTCATTCACCATTCATAAATAATTAATTTAAATGTTTGTGCTGCACACTGCAGTTTTATTTGTGGTAAGATGAATGAATTTGTTGGAAAATTGAATTACATCCAGAGTGATTATTGATTTTTTTTAATGTCATGTTTTGATTTTGGCATGCCTCCAGTTTCAGCATCTTTTCAGATTGAACAAAAGAAGAAAGCAATGTTATTTAGTTGGAAGGAAATGTTATTTGGTTGGAAATTTTGCAAAGGCTATTTTATTTACACCGTTAGAACAAATACATACATTTTCTTAGAAGGGAAAATTTTCAAGTATTAATATTCTTTTACCTATCCCATTGATGTGTTCTGCAATAAAGAATCTGCTATGAAATTTTTCTAGATTTTAAGCTATAAAATGCCATTGTTATACATGCACAGTTATAAAATAATGGTTGAAGCTTATTTTCAATTATTTGGCAGCCTAGGATATGATATTGACCACTTGGAATACTATTTAATGTGAATGCATTGTTACAGAGTAAATGAAAAATTAAATATGTTAATAAAATTGTATTATAGTATCTCATAAAATGAAGATTGCTGGACATCAATACCTATTGTCAATCACATCTGTTAAGTTGTTATTTTGAATGATCTATTTTTTATTTAATTAATTTGAATAGTGAGATGATGCATGTAGCAATAAATATGTTCTGCTTGAATGTGATAGTAACCGTGCAGTATATTAAGGCATTTGTCACTTTTTTAATGTCTGAATATTTCTATTTCAAGAGAGGTTTGATGTAAGCCTCCTGTGAAAATACCATACCAAATCTGTGATATTTAATTTGAACTGTTTATTTTCTTTACTTAATGTACATGTGCTGTGTGTTGAGTGTATAGTTATGTAATTGACAGTCATTAATTTGTAACTGTTTTAGGGAGATGGTGATTTGAATATAAAATGCAAGTGGACGTTTGTTGATCTTTTTAACATCTCTAAATAACATTTTATGTGCTACTGTACACATTTTTGTGGATTGTGTGGTCAACAAATTTGTAAATTTAAATGTTTACTTATTACAATTTTCAATACATTGGCCATGTATTCATTTGTATTTTCCTTTTACTGATTTTTTATTTAGTTTTTCTTTATAATTAGAAATTACCCTTTTCCCCCTTTTCATTGTGTTAACAATTCTATACCAGTATAGAATGGAATAATAGTGATTATTTTGTAGTTGGAATAATAGTTGCAATTTTGTGTTGTTTCATTAGTCAGTTGGTCATCAACAAATTGTGACTATTACAAGAAGCCATTAATGCTTTGTCCCAAACATGGGAAACTAATCTAAATGAAGAGAAAGCAGTTCTTATCAATTATACTAACAACAGATTGAATAGTCCACCAAAATTGGTCATCAATGGAAAGTTAGTTATTTTTGAAAACAAAGCCACTTACCTGGGTAAGATTATAAGGAAAGAGAGAAAGAACACATCGTCCGGTTCTGAAGCATTAATGGCTTATTAGAAGATATGTGACGCAATAAACCGTAATTTATCATCAGATTCATGTGGCTATTTGGAATATAAATCTGGGAATGTGCAAAATAGCAATATCAAAATACTGCAAATGTTTTACAATCAGTTTTGCATTATATAGTGAATGCACCATTGTACGTCAGAAACTTAAGTCTTGGAATTCCATACATTTTTGTGGAAATTACGAGGAAGCAAGAAGGAAGGGGATCGTACATGAATTACGTAATACTAAAGAGGGGGGTCAGGTAGTGTCACTTTGCCAAAAATTAAAACATTGCAAAACAACAATGGTAAAGATTTTTTCCTTAATAAAATTGTTTAAAAATTAGAATTTTAAATAATGTCATCTACAGGTATTTTGATTTTTTGGGGGGGGGGGATAATTTACGTCGAGCCTAATCAAGATTTTCAAATTTTTCTCAAAAATTGCTCCAAACTTTTTCTTTAAATTTGATTGAACCCTTCAATACACATGCTGTTGAATTCGGAGAACTCAGTGACTAAACGACCAATATCAGAGAAACTTAATTGGATTCCTCCATGGTACGTGGCAACAATCGCAAATTTCTTTTGGTGCCCCTTTCAAGGTCTCCCCAAACACGTTTCGCGGTCCCGTCGAGGACTGTCAACCTCGGTTTGAACATGTAATGATAATAAGGGTTCTCATTCTGATCTAAAAATTATTTGAAAATGACTTGAAAAGAGGAAAACGACCTTAAAAATTAGGGGGAAATGACCTAATTTTTGGAAAAGTGTACAAAAATATTTATTCAACGAATTTTACAATTTCCAATGAAATTTAATTATATAAAGTTATATTTAATATTTTAGGAGGTAATGTAGTAATCCTTAGCTCCGATCTTCCAACCGTCAGTTTTGATCTGTCGAGGAAGTTACCGAAGATCCTTGTAATTTTGAGAGTTCAAAAAACAGAGTCCATTGCAGTAGTGAATTTCGTCTTGAACTGTTACAATAAAAACTACGTTTGTGAGTCATTGTAAATTCATGAAACATTCACTACTAAAAAAAAAAGGAAAGAAAGCAAAATGCGTAAAAATGACGCAAAGGTCCAAACAATGACTTAAAAATTGAAAAATGACCCAGTAACTACACTTCTGTCCCCATAGTAGTAAACATTCATTACAAATTAGCTTCGTCTAGAATGCACCAGTGAAAAGATGACATTAGAATCTGAACCTTGAATAAAGGAAATTTTGACATGTAAACGAAGTTAAGTTGTATTATTAATTATAATACAATGGGAGTTTGATTTCGTTCCGTCATTTTTGGCGGGTTCTAGTACTAACGTAAAGAATTGGTTTCGCGAGAAGAATGCGAAAGACGAGTGAATCCTTTAAGATGACGTTAGTGTGAAAACTGATTGTGAGGCTACGGCTTCCTCCGAACCTGTTAGGCGCCGAACTTGCGAACGATGCCTTCAGGCACTGATACAGAGTCGTGCGTGAGTATCCGTGACCCAAAGTCTATGACAAAACATTGAACAAAATGTCATTAACAGTATCCTTGAAATTTAAAGTAATTTGTATCATCCAGAAATTTAAAGAAGTTAAAATTAACGAAGAGCGCATAAATGGTGAACTTTATTGTGTACAGTAAATTTTTCAGACTGAATTTTAAAGAACTTGAATGAAAATTTTGCATAAATTTAGTTTATTAATTGTTTCTTGATTTAGTACAATTTTATACTTGTGGTTTGTAGATTATGAGAGTGAATATTTGTTTGGTTTGTGTTTTTCTCTAGAAAAGGCATCCTGTGAGATAGTAGTAGACCAAATCGATAGGCCCGAGGACGGATCGCCCTTGCCGCCGAAGTCCGAAGTGGCTCCCACACGGCAGTGCAACATAGGGCAACGCGAGCCTGATCGGTTAAGAGTTGTTTGATGCCACTACGCCATGGGCGACGGCGTGTATGGTTGCAATATATCAGCTTCATACCTTTCAGGAACACATTGGGGTGTGAAAGAGTTTTTTAAATGAATACTTGAAGAAAGTAGTGTAGACAAGACAAACTCTAATTTGGATGAAAAAGTGTTGAGATTTTAATTATACTATGGGAGTAGAAAAATAATTAATGAAATTAGTTTGATATAGACTTCATAATGAAACGAGAATCACTCAAAATTTTATATACATCAATTACAATAGTTATTGTTGACGGACAATAAAGATTGTTGCTATGGTTAATTTACTTGAACGTCTTAGTTACTGTTTGTCCCTTTCTTTTGTCTTCCAAAAGGAGTGTTTAATGAAGTTACAATGCTCCTATGCTGGAATAAATTTATTTTACCACTAGTGTTATGATCACGCTTCTTCTTCCATACATATCCACTATGATACATGAGTGCGCTAATCGAACAAAATCATACCGCTTTTTTAAGGTCGATGGCGCTTTGATGAGGCAAAAATAAGTTGCTGGTAAAATAGACTGAATGGGAAAAGTTATGTACACTGGTCAAGAAACTATAGAAACAGAAAGCTCAAGCACTCGGAAGAAATGTATAGGAGGAAAGTGGCGAAGTAAGGTTTCTTTCATTGAGAAATTTGTATTACAGGATTATTTCTAGTCTACTTACCATGTCTTTCCTCAATATCGTATGTGCATGAACGTTTGGTGATCAAGCTATGAGACCTTTAAGTATGATTTTGTTTTTAATGTTGTCTGGTCTGTGGAGTTTTTTATAAATAAAACGGTAATCTTATTCATTAACCTGTTTCTTAAAATATTTTCACCAGTGTGAGCTGTGAAAATACGTATTTTGTTAATTTTTATTTCCGAAAGAAAAATCAGAGGGATTGCTTCGCAAGGGGAGAAAGAGATGTATCTGAAATGTATGGGTCAGCTAAAAAAGTGAAGGCGAAGGCGCTAGTCGCCTTTTCATCGCGAACAAGGCTGAGGCCAACGGACCGGGACGTCCTAGAGTTCGAGCTCGACGGCGGCAGGATTCTCTACACGAGGTCGAAACTAGCGGTCGGCTGCTTTGATCGGTAGTTTCTCCGATTAACCCCAGGCGAATGCCGGAGCAGTACTCTAACAAACGGGCCACGGATCGCGCCTGATCTTTCCTTCCTCGTCCTTTCTTCACTCCTTACTTACACACACTTACACGCACTTCACTACCAAACATGTTGGAAGCTTAGAGCTTGTCCCCTCTGGTGGGAGATCCCTGGACAAGGAAACCTCGCAAGCCGGCTTGCAGATCGGCGCCAGATCTCGTCAACCAGCGGAGGAAGAACACCGCCTTCTCCCGGGATAAAACATACACTACACTTGCGAAACTAATGGCCTTAACAGTTGATGCGCCCGGAAACATGAAATAATAAATTAATCATTCGAGAACAAGGCTAGAGTTTGTAAAATCTTACCTCCACGATCTAGCCAACGGAAGTTTGAACTTTTGAGTTCACCTTAATTTTAATGAATCAACTGACGTGTTTTTTAATTTGTTTATATTATTAAAAAATCAAATATTAATGGTAATGCAACTGCAGTAGGTCAAAAAACTGTTTTGGCGCATGGTCCATCTCATTCTTCAACAACAATACAATGAATGAAGAGTGCTAATGCCATTGTGAATAACTGGAAAAAATAAATGGCCAACAATGAAAGCATTCGTTAATATTAATCGTGAGAGTGATTGTATTTGAAAAAATAAATTTACCAAAATAATCGTGGCGGCGATGTTCGCTGATCGATACACCGCTCCGGCCGCGATTATCAGAGCGGTGAGTGGTTTCAGACACCCCGCGTCGTGTACGTTTGGGAAAGGCGGCTTTGCAGAGCAGTCTGAATCCTGAAAAAAGGAAATGTAGTTTTTAATCTAATAAAATTGGTTTTGTCAGTGTTACCGACAAAAAATATCCACGATTAGCACAGAAATAGTCGTGATTTCTATTATTAAATACCTATTAAAACAGCAAAACAAATCCAAACCAACAAAAAAGTGAACATTTTAAGGGTGGCAGAAGATACGGCAAGAGATACAAATAGTTATTACCGTAACTTATACAGGAGATGTCTGCGGCCGCTTGAATTGTTGATGGTCGAGACGACAATCGGAGTCTTATCCGGCATTTTGAACATAACACTTAAGACAGTGAATTTCGAAGCAGTTTTTTTTATCAATTATTCATCAGAATGCCTGGTGAGGTATGTTACATTTAATACCATATGATTATTAAAAAAAACTACTACACATTGAATAAAAGAAAAAAGTACTTTAATCTTAAAAATTCTTCAATAAATTAAATGACTTATGACCGCGAAATTTTTTTCTATAACAGCCTGGTGCCTGACTAATTTAAACCTCTTTTAATAAAAAAAATAGGCCCGTAATGGCATTTTTTTATCCTGAACAGAGATTTTACTTTCATTTAAAATACTTTTGGGGGATCCCGGAACTGAAGATCCCTGAAATGGGAAAATCAGACAATTTTGGAAATCGCAAAATTCGTCTGTATGATTTCTTTCGCAAAGGAAGATGAGCACACGCAATACTTTCATGGCCATTAATAGAACTCTCCATCACCATTTGTTACAAGTTCATTGTCGGCAACATTGTTATAGCAGGAACCCTCGCGGCACGCGGCAGCACTGGCCGAAATGTTTCGCATGTCATCCATTTCCAACGTCGGCCCGCTGCTGTTTCGACTCTAACATTGGGCACAGTATTTGTGTTTCTGCTGGCTATATTCTCCTCCTTGCTCTCCTCATTCACGGCCGGCTTCTCTGATCGATAGTTTTCCGAGGATTCACCGATCAACACCAGGCGAATGCCGGAGCAGTACCCTAACAAACGGGCCACGAACCGCGCGCGATATTTCCTACCTCTTCCCTGTCCTATCCTCACCCCTTACACACACACACTCACACACACACACACACACATATTAACATGCACTACACTACTACACATGCCGAGAGACCCGTCAGGAACAAAGAGCTTTTCACGGCTGCGGCGGTGTCCCGCTGGTGGGAGATACTTGGTTGGGAAGAACCCCACAGGTCGGCGCCTGATCTCGCCATACAGCGGGGCAAAGATCACCGTCACTTCTCAATCAAAAACATGCACTACCCTTACGGGACTAATGACCCTGGTAGTTGACGTGCCTGGAATCACTAAACAATCAACCCTCATCCAATATCATCGATTCCTCTTCGAAACTATCATAGACTTGCTCACAGGGGGCGTGCCCCCTGGACATTTTGAAAGGGGGCGCTTAAAGTTACGTAAAAGACATTTCATTTCCTTGAATTTGTCCAGTCTCTGAATTTTCCCTTTTATAAGCCGACATTTTTTTCTCCAAACCATCTGACAACCATGTTAATGGTCCAACATGTAAACTCGTTTGTAGTATTTATTAATTGAATTATTGTATGATTTACTAATTACGTAGTAAAATGTCATATGTAGGTAATTTATTTAGACAAAAAACAGTAAAAACTGTGTGACGCATGGGAGAAAAGATCATCTGCGCATGTTTTCTTGAGTTCCAGAATCCCTTTCTATCAGTTTAACTAAAATAGTTAAAAGATGAGTAAAAGTTTAAAAAATAATTAAAAAAGCGCGAGGATAGCAACATTTGATAAACTAGACCTTTTCGTATTTGCCACCTATACGAACCACAGATTTAATTTTTCTGCATTGCTAACAAAATAGTAACTCGATCTTACTTCTACTCCTACCACTAAATATACATATACATATACACTCTCTTCCATATACATATACACTCATGAGAAATAGTTACCGTTGTTTGTTTTCGATAAATAAAATGTAAGAACTCTAAATGCGAACTACCTTATGTTCATTTCGGAAGCGATATTAAAACACTGGGACGCATTCATTAATACACTGAAAGTGCTTGGGCTGCGAGACAGACATACACAATGCACGACAAAGAGACCGTAAGTGTGTAGTTAAGTCCTGTCAATTTTGGAACGCACAGCGATGTTTTCATGACCTTTTTCTCAGATGGGAGTTGGCAACCGCAAGAGCCGTATAAATAAAAAAGATGGAGAAGAAGAAGAAAAAGAAGAAGAAGAAGAAGAAGAAGAAGAAGAAGAAGAAGAAGAAGAAGAAGATGGAGAAGGGGACTCACCACGCGATGGTCGACGCAGCAGCTGCCGGGGACGATGCACGGGAAAGAGATTGGTTTCTGTCCGCTCGTCAGCCACAAACTGTGAAGGAAGGTCAGCGAGGAACGCTCCCCAGACACAGGCTGATCCTCGGGAGCAAGGTCTGTCGCGGACGTCACGACAGCTAAGTCACAAGAAGGAGGCGATTAGTTGACATATAGATAATTGATAACAGTAATCCCTGAACATCCGCGAATTCACCATCAGCGAGTATCGGACATTCGCGTTTAGAGGAATGCTACCGGTTTTAACATTCGTGACTTCAACGTTCGCTAGTGCGTCATTTGGTCTCACTTTTTCTTGAAAGCAAGTTCATTTCATTTTCTTCGTGAACTCTAACTAGGAACCCAATTTGGCAGGCTCCAGGGCTCACGTTCTACAAAAATGTCAAAGTTGGAATGTCAATTCAGATTAATAGAATAACGCAATCGTAAAGTAATTCAATTCAGTTGCGTCAAGTTAGAGGTAGGGGTTTTTACGACATGAATGGAAAAGCCATTCAGAATCTTCGCAACTCCGATGAGAATGACCTCACTGAAGGGAAGCTTTGAGAAATCATCAGCGAAGATAATCTCCTCGAACGAGGTGATGAAGTAATGGAAGTGAAACTGCGCCCCTTCAATGTCAAAACTGTTAATGGCGTTCTAAAACTTCAAGCTGTGATTGGATGGAAGAGGGCTTCGAATGCGAGTTTTCTTGAGTTCCAGAATACTTTTTCATTATTTTAACCACAAATTGTTGAAGGATGAGTTAAAGTTAACGATAAATAAATGAAAATAAATTTATAAAAGTAAGAGATTAGCAAATTTGAAAAACTATACATTTTCGTTCCAGAGTTATAGAAAATTTATTTGCAACGGTAAACAAAATGCAGATTCGATTTTTCTGCATCTCTAACAAAATAGTAACTCGCCCTTACCTCTATTCCTACTACTAAAAGCAAAAGGAGAGTTCAAGAAAACGTGCGCATAGTAAGGTTACATTTACGTCAAGAAGCAAAACAAGGGGCCATTTCAGCATTTGCTCAATGGATCAGGGAAACTGGACAAAAACCTGATCGAGATGGGGGTCATTGACCCGGAAGCTGAAGTATATTATTTGTTTCAATCATGGTAAGTCCTTTTTATAAAAAAATCTACAATACAATTGTAAACTAATTCATTATATATCACTGTTTTGTTAACATTTTTCGTTTTGATGATCAGTATAATCTCTAATTGTATAGAAACAGTTATGCAACAGAAAATATTTTACTTTTCACTTAAATTTTTGTATCGACTACAATTGTTTAATGTCATCTGGCAATGCGTTCTAAAGTTACGTGCATATATTGTATGTTGATTTCTGGCAGTGAGCTATTGATAGTGACACCTGATGAACGTGATTTCTACGACGTGTTTTGTAATTATAATTATCAGTATTGCACGAAAATATGTTCCCGCCGTTAAGAAAGTCATTTTTGACAAATATTACAGATTCGTAAATAAATAGGTAAGGCAATGGTAAAATTCCAAGCTCAATTAAGAGAGGCTTGCAGGGATCACGTGAATGGCATTTTTTCATTATTCGAATAATTTTGTTTTGCAATCTAAATGCCTCACTACTACATGATGTGCTTCCCCAGAATATTATGCCATATCTGAGGCGGGAATGCACATTTGCAAAATACATGAAACGAACTGCATGAAGGCTGGCAAAATTTGAAAGAATCTGGGTCCCATGATTCCTTCAGCAAGTAGTCCGTAAATAATTTTATGTTTACTTTAGTGAATGCTCTGCACATGGGTGTATTATTTCTTGTGTCAGTGTTCACGTTATTAGTAATTGTAAGAATTGGTGCATCGTGGTCACTGTAACTTAGATTAGTAGTTTTTATTTCATGTCCAGTTGTGACGTTATTGATTATAATTTGGTCTATTGATTTTTGTGATTTACATGTATTCCATGTAGGAACATTCATTGTAATACCGAAATTCAACGATTTGCAGTAAATTGAGATAATGCTCTTTTTCGTGGGACTCTCTCATAAAATCAATATTGAAATCTCCACATATAACAATAGATTAAAAGATAGGTTACAAATTGTGTTCAGAGTTATCTCTAAATTTTCTAAGAAAATGAAATAATCTGAAGCTCGTTTTGTTGGAGGTCTGTATGTGCAAAGAAAGATAGTTTTGAGCGTAGTAAGATGTACGACAGTTATTTCAAAAACGTTTTCAACTGCATATAAATTGAATTCTGACAAGAAGATAGAATCAATATCATTTCTTCCGTAAATACACGAACCTCCGTAAGCAGGGCCCTTATTTGATTCCCTCGCTTTACAATGCGACCCTGCAAGGTAAAAACTAGGAATTTGAAGTGTGTTTAAATTATGAGACAACCAATGTTCTGTAAAGCAAAAAACGTATATTTGACCTAGTTCACACTGTAATGCTGCATGGATAAATTCAATTTTATTTGAAAGAGAGAGCACATTACGATGCAGAATTTGAATTTTTTTGCACGTACATACACGAATGTCATTATTATCTCATTTTTACCTTGAGTGCGTGATAAGGAAGTATTGTGTTCCAGCAGTGACAGGAGGTGAGGAAGGAGGGGCGACAAATGTAGATAAACGAATAATGGGAGAAGTAGTACAAGAATTAGGGCAGGGGAGAAGGTAATTGGGTCCAACGAGGTCCCGGAGGATGGAAGAGAACTAGGAGATGTGGGTGATATTGAGTGTTGGGCAGGCCACTGCCGAGGTTGTGAGAGGATATTATGTTTTGCAAGCTCACTACCGAGTGCATGTTTTCCGACAAGGTTCAGGGGAAGAACATGCCGGGTGAAGGTTTTTTCTGAGAAAAGGTTTAGATCAAATAATTGAGTGATTGACCAAATTATTGTAACACTCTCGCATTATTTTTAACTTTTTCAAGTTTCGGTAAAACTGAAATTTGGACGGAACTGAAATCTGCGTCATTCTTTTAAACCTCTTGTTCTATCAGTGGGGAAAAATTAAAGTGGTGTTTGAGAATTTTTTCTAAATTGCATTAACATTAAGAATAAATTACGCTAAAAACTCTCTTTCTACATGACCTTAAATTTCCGGTTTTTAAAACTTTTAATTTAAGACAAAAATCTCTTTCTTCAATATTGTACTACTGCAATGTTAATTGTTTTACAATTTTCAAAAACAGAGAATTTGCCGAAAATGGAACTAGCTCTATTTTTTATCATTCTGTCATATAGACGGGGAGAATATTTGAAGAAAAAAATGGAGCCATTTTAGACAAAATAATTGTTTAAAATTACGTAAATTTCACGCAGAAACTTTATATTTTTTACATATTTTCGAGAAACCGTGCCTAACCTTATTTAAAGAACACATTTCATAAAATGAAAAATTCTATCTGCAATATTTTAGTTGTAGGACGCCGCCGAAAAGTTTGATCTTTCACAATTTTCGAAAAATTATCAAAACCAACGAAAATAGGAACAGCGGCATTTTAACAACCTTTGCGTTGAGGACAAAGTTCAATAAAAAAAATTCAGAACCATTTTTGAAAAAAACGTTTGAAATAGAACTGTTTCTATTTAATTAGAGACTATCTGAGCATCAAAGAGGAAAGTGATATTTATTTTAACAATAATATTTAATGTATTGATTACCGTTTAGACAACTATTTAAGTAAGTATTGTTCTAAACAACGTATATCAAATATGTATTGTACCTCAGCTCAATGACCCCCATCTCGATCAGGTTTTTCGTCACGTATCCTTATCCTTAGAGCGAATGTTGAGATGGTCGCTAGTTTTGCTCCTGAACATAAATGTAACTTCACTGTCAGCGCATGTTTTCTACAGTTCATGTGTTCTCCATGCTCTCGTGACAGGAAGTCGATTCTTTCGCAAAGAGCAATATGAGGGACAATAGCACAAATCTATAGCTGATTTGATTTTGCAAATACACTGGTGTTTGTGAAAATTGCAGCACCTAGAAGGAATAATCGAAATCACTTAAAATTCGGTTAATTTGTAGATTAGTGTATGCATAAGAAGTTATTAAATTCGGATAAAGATGGCGTGACGTTGGCCTAGCAGTGCCTTCCTATGTGCGACAGGCCAGGTCGGTGTTACGCCACGCTCAGTCAGTGTAGAGCCGTCAAACATGCCAGCAAGTGCAACGCCAATGCGCGCAATATTAGCATCTAAGTGTGTTCGAACCGGGCGAAATGATTAGTCTCCGTGAAGCGGGTTTGTCGTGCCGTGACATTACAGCTCTAGGCGCGTTGCTACGACAGTGATGCGCGTGCAGAACCAGAGGATAGAGGAGGGTCGTTCACAGCGACGAGCGGTTACAGAACCACCCAATGTGACCACAGCGCGAGATGACCACCATATCGTTCGGATGGCCATAACCGACAGAATGGCGTCATCCACATTGATGGCTCGACTTTGGAGCACTGCAACGGGTGGGGTCGTGTCTGCATCGACGCTTCGACATCGTCTGCTGAGGGCAGAGCTGGTGGCACGCATCCCACCGCATCGGATTCCGTTGACCAGAAACCACCAACGCCTCAGTCAGCAATTGGCACGTGAACGTGATTACCGGTCCGCAGTGGCAAAATGTAATGTATTCGGGCGAGTCCCGCTTCAATTTGTGCTACAGCGATGGCCGCGGACGTGTTCGATGCTACCGTGGTGATTTCAGTTTGCCAGCCTACATTGTTACGCGCCATAGCGGATGAACGTCAAGTGTGATTGTTTGGGGATCCACTGGCTACAGTGTCCGATCTCGCTCGAACAGATGTTTCTTTATGTATCAAAAGAAATCTGAACAGAAACCACTACTTCGGGGAGGTCTTAGAGCCCGAGGTACTTCCCATCCTGCAAGCAGCTCCACCTACCATATTTCAACAGGAAAAGCACCACCGCGTGGTGAGGAAAGTGCAAGCTTTCTACGAAGAACGACGGGTACCACTGCTTCCCTGGCTTGCACGTTCACCTGCCATGTCACCAATCGAACATGTCTGCGATATGATACGTCGGGCACTTGTTCGTTCTGATCCTCCTGCAGTGACTAGGTGCTGTGTGGTCACGCATAGAAAACGCGTGGCAATGTGTTCATCAGCAGCCTATCCAGACTCTCTTTCAATCCTTGCCACACCGTCTAGAGCAGGGCTTGCCAACCCAATGCTCTGTGACGTCACAAAAGTTTTCTCTCCTTTTTTGAACCGAGCCCCGGAACAATGCCAGTACCGGACGCGGCGACGAGCATAGTGTTGCCATGATGGTACAGAAGTGGGAGGGGGGGGAGGTTCGCTCGATAATTACGTTTTTAAATGGTAATTATTATTTAAATGTTTATGATTCAATAAAAATATGAAAAATTTAAAAAAATTGAACCGGGATTATTTGATAACACAAAACAATATCCGACTCTATTTATCTTAACCATTACTGTAATTCCAGTTCCATTTTTCTAACACAAGTTTTTTAAGGAGGCAGTTTCAACATTATAATACAATATTTTATAAAATGTTATATAATATAACATGTTTAGTTCGTCCCGAACCAATAACCCAGGAACACAAAATAAAAAAAGTTGGAAATAAGTAAAATAAAAAAAGACTCAAGGACTTGACACATGTTTCTCTATGTGTGTCATCGCGCTGAATCCAAATCTGAAGTGATAATTGCCACACCACCTACCAGTTGTTGTTTTTATTGCAAAAAACAATTAAATTTAGTTTTACGGCGTTTTATCGCGATTTAAAAAAACTTCTGGCTTCAGAATAGGATTAAGCACATCAATGTACTTAGAAAAAAACATGTGTCCAGTCTTTTGAGTTTGAAAGCTTTTTTATTTTTTGTGCCTGTGTAGTTAATGTTAACAAATAGATACCAGGGAGGGGTCACGTGGGAGAATTTGGATTCCAGGCTTCATTATTTATACAGTTTAGTTTTGTTTGAGGTTGTTGTAATTCCTCGTGATTTTCCATTCCTTTTCTATAATCTATTTGCAAAATACTTTTCTCATTTCTTGATTGCAGGCTATCATTCTCAGAAATTAATTTCATCTCGCGGGTTTCTCTGAGTTGCAAAGCTGCGTAATGCCTCTGCCCGTTGAACTCAATTCTTCCAAATACAATCAATACTCGTCATTGTTAAGATATTGTTACGGTATCCACAAAAGGAAACCTTTCTTCCCAAACCGATAGAAAATTGACGGCGGTAGATGGTCTCCCACTCATGTTCCCTGAAAGATCGGCAAAGGCCCACTGGTTTCCGTTATCGGCGACCATTGTCTGCCCCTCCCTTCCTTCCCCCTCCCCTTTGCTCGCACCACTTCTCCGAAGCGGCCCCGCGAGGGGAAACAGCTCCGACTTCATTTCTTCGCCAGTTGGCAAACGCTGGTCTAGAGGCTCTGATGGCAGCGCGTGCGACTTCACACCGGACTAAATAGTCAAGGTCAAAATGCAGGTATAGGTCTGTAATTCTAATCATTTGTATTTTGTGATATACCCTAATCTGCGGAATAAATTTCATTATAATAATGTCTGCTTCTTGGTGTTGCAATTTTCACAAACAGTAGTGTAGTTTTTATCACACGGGGATGAATATTTTATTATGGCGGCTATCAAGCGTTCTTTACGCGTTAACTTTCTCTTTATCAATAAATATCTCTGCATTTCCTTCCTTCTCTACGAATTCCTATTCCTTTGCTTTTTAAACCAAGTGGCTGTCTCTTTAGGCTTTAAATCTCGCCACATTTTAAGCAACAGGCAAGAACTGTTTTTGATTACTGACTAAGTTCAGAAAATAGCGCTACCGTCATAGGCTATAGAAAGGCCCAATTGCGACCACTGTTGTCAACATCTGCGTTAGAAGTCACGGGAAATTACTATTGTACATTCACGAACCACACTCCCAGCTCCATGCAATAATGTATATTTGTTGAAAGAGTTTCAAAACAGTCATTTAGAAGTTTTATTTTGAAATTGTTTATAAATTAAATTATATGAATTGAAAGTAACGAATAAATTAAATATTTATCTCAATAATCGGAGTCGCACGCCGAATTGCTTAAGTACGCCCTGTGAAGTCACGGAAGTTAAGCAACTCAAGACGCCACGGATTAGTAGACGGGTGATCGTTTGGGAACCCCGGTTAATAACAGCGTCGATTCTTTTACCGAAGGAATTAAAGGCATCGACTGAGGCATAAAAGGCCGCGACGTTACGAGACAAAAAGGCAAAACTTCAAGGAGAATTACTCAGAGTACGCTCTGCGCTCAAGTAGGGATTAAGAGACGTATTACGAAGACAAAAACTTTCTTTTAAAAATACATTCAATTAGACGACCGGTTTCCATTATCATATTTAATGCTCTCTCAAATATTTTCTGAAGTCGTTCATGGGGAAGTAAAAGTATTCGAGAAATACCTGCTGCGGATGTGGTTTGCTGAGTCGGAGTGGGTGTTGAGTCTTCGGCTGGAGGCATGCGGTGAGGCGTCGATTTCTCCGACGACATTTGCTCAAGGGGCCGCGCGTCAACTATTTCTGGTTTTCCATCTTTTCTTTCTTTGTATTTCTCCGACTTTGAGTAGCTTCGATGGACAGTCGGTGAAGCGTGTTGAATAGTCAGAATGTTGTTGATTTCCGGAAGATAAGCACTCTTATCAAAGGAACTAAGGGTATATTGTTTACTGAAGGAATCGTCATCAGAGGCGTTAGAGAGAAACGGTTTTAAATGACGTTTCTCGTGTATTCTTTTCCCATTCCAGAACGGTGGAAGAGTGGATTGTTCTCTCTCCGTATTGGTGGCTTGTTTGGGTGTACTCGCGTTCGATGCTGACTTCATTTGTTGATCCGGTGGCATGCACCATTCGGTGAACTTGTGCACGCCGCAGCATCCAAACTGGGGAGTTAAAAAGGATTTCCGTAACTATTGAGAAGACTCAAACATCACTGAGAATGTGCATGGTATGTGTGAAAAGTAACCAAAATTAATCAAAATTTAAACAAACACCAAAGGAAATTATTTTGTGTAACATGCGTAATTGAGTCAGTTAATTTTAAAAACCCCTAAGTCTCTTTCTTTTTCATTTTCGCTCTTTGTTAGAAAATCGAAGCTGCAGAGTAGATGCATCGTTCCAAATGTAAATTTCGTAAATCAGAGTAATAGAATGGCCGTGAGGACACTGCACAGTTTTGGTTTGATTTTGAAACACAGTCATAGATTTGCGGGGTATATATGTAAATATGGATGCATTCAGTGTGTATGACTAAGTTATCCCTGACATATAGATTGGTTCAAAGGGATGTTCAAAACGGAAATATTCCTAAGTACTATCATAGAAACACATATTTCAAGAAACTGATTCTGTCACCTACATCATGTTTGATGTAGAATCACATTGTCATTTCACCTATAATATTGTAATAAATCTGTCAAATTACAAACTGAACTTCCATTGTGTATTTATTTGCATGTTTAGGTCAAAACAACTTTTAAATAAGTCCAGCGACTATTGTAGTATTGCTACAAGTAAATTACATGTCTCCGTGACATTCTAAATCAAGATTTGAGCATCAGATATACAAAACACTGAGAAAACATATATGTCCTTAATTATTCAGTTTTTATTGCTTTCCCACAACTTCACAATTCCAGAATTGCGGGGTTTTAAAAATAACCGATTTAAAAATTCTATCCAATTTCCCCAAGTCTCCAACATTGTGTTCAGTCTAGGCGTGGCACCTATATCTTCCAGAATGGTGGGCTCCAGAAGGGAGGGGTTATGCCACCTTGAAAACGGTCAATTCTCTTTAATGCACACTATGTGATCAAACGTACCTTACGGTTGCCGGCCGTGAATATGACCGTGAGTCGTGTCGTGCGGTGAGTAACTTAAGAGTGCCAACCGTGAGTCGAACCGTGCGGTAGCCGAGCACCTTAAGGGTGCCGACCGTGAATTTGACCATGTGTTATACCGTGCGGTAGGCGAGTGCCTTAAGGTTGCCGACCGTGAATTTGACCGTGAGTCGTATCTTGCGGTAGCCGAGTACCTTAAGGGTGCCGACCGTGAGTTGTCCCGTGCGGTAGCCGAGCACCTTAAGGGTGTCGACCGTGAATTTGACCGTGAGTTATACCGTGCGGTAGGCGAGTGCCTTAAGGTTGTCGACCGTGAATTTGACCGTGAGTCGTATCGTGCGGTAGCCGAGTACCTTAAGGGTGCCGACCGTGAGTCGTACCGTGCGGTAGCCGAGTACCTTAAGGGTGCTGACCGTGAATTTGACCGTGAGCCGTACCGTGCGGTGGAGGCCGTGCAGCGGCATCTCGTAAAAGGAGCGGCGCCTGGCCGCGGCGATCTCCGCGCCCAGGTGCTTGGGCAAGTCCGCCACAATGTCGTCCTCGTACGCCTGCTCCAGCAGCGCGCCCGTCACGGCGCCCGCCGCTGCCGACGACCCGATCGCCATGTGCTGCTGGCGCCGGGAGGCCATCGCACGGTTAATCCACATTTTCTAATTGAGGATGGTTTTTTCAAATCCCGATAAATGCAAAAGAAATCCAATTTTTTTCAACCGTTTTATCATCCATAAAAAAGGTTTTATCGAAACATAGAAATGTAGAGCTTTTGTCATTCAAAACCACAATATTTTAGCAAAAATTTATATAAATGCATTTTCAAAATCCGTTTTATGAAAACTATATTTTGCATTTATTGAGTTTTGAAAAATCGCTCCTCAATTCTGTGTTGTAAAATTGACTTAATGCAAACAAAGACAGGAACGAAAAGTCACTTTTAATGGTTGCAGTCCGTTAAAGATTTAACAAATCGCTATCCATTAAGAACAATCGAAATAAATTAGTTGTATCTAAAGATGGTAGGGCTTCACTTACTCCAAGAAATGGTATTTCTTGTCTGAATATTCTTATTTCTTATAAGAAGATGGTATTATGAAAAATATTTATCGGTACACGGCCGAAAGAAATATCAGAGCTGGTTGGTTATGAACTTTGGCTTTCGTTCTGTGACCGTTTATCGATCATTGGAAATATGTTAATAACTATCGAATGTGTTGCTTATTGGGTTAATGACGTTATTAACTATTTCGTGAGTAGTAGAGGCATTTCGACGAACATTTAGTCGTGTCTTGCACTCGCACGTTTGACCCAGGCTGAAGTCTACTCGTAAAGTCTCCTCCTAGAGCGGATCTAGGGCATCATTCAAGCAGATACCTCGTGGGCCTTTAACGCATCACAGTGATCTGCTTCTTCAGTCTGATGTCAAACTTGGTTGTCGATGTGAAAACTGTCTGTCGGTAGAACGTTAGGTATCGTTAGGGCGGAAGATTGTTGGAGAGGTTTGATAATAAGGGGCTCCTACCAGATTGATTTATTTGCCACCAAAAAGCACATCATAAACACTATCAATGGCTTTCAACTTCCCATAAAATCAAATTCATAAACAATGAATCGCCGGTAAGCTTCTGATGCTCTATGCCTCCTGGATATGTTAAGGGTATATGTTTTAGGAAGTAGAGTATGAGTAGAAAAACAAATTTGGAGTTTTTTCTATACCTAACCAAAAATTGTGGTAATGAATAATGAAGTGAAGTGATTGTAATTTTTTTTATTATTTCGTTCCGGAGCCCCAGCAGAATTAATTCGACGGCAAACTTCGCGTTTAAAGGTTTGATAATCATTGCCCCGGAGGTAAGAATGAACAAGCGCGCAGGTCTTCCGAGTCTGCCAAGCATATAATTGTAGATTTCGCATGAAATATCTGTGATCCAATTGACCGTTAAAATCAGGGCGAACTTTCGTGTTTCCACTGTCGTCGAAAGCCGCCCAGTTATCTCCTTCGAACTGCACATCAGTTGTCTGCATTATTCCAGCAACTGAAAAGGGCGCCATTGACAGCATTACAAGCGGCATTAGGCAAGTCCACAAGCGCCATCCGTCCGGGCAGGCCTTCAAAAAAAACTCATAATTGGAATGCACGAGCATGGCACGCCAGAATAACGCCGACTGTAAAATTGTGGCGAATGATTGTACGAAAATCAACGCCTGGACGGAATCGATCGCTTTATAAACGGAGTGTCGCTTCGCTAACTCGTCAAGCCCGGTGTGTCGGGGAATGGGTTGATGGTTGAGGGTGCCGCCGCCGCATGGAGCGCGTCGACAGAGGCGGTGCGCTCACGAGAATGAGGCAGGAGCCCGGCGCGAAGACGCTGAAGATGCCCGTGAGGCCCGTCAAGGCCAGGTGCGCGCCGCCGCCGGCCAACGCCGCCAGCGCCGCCGCCGACACGTCGTCCCCCAACATGGCGTCCAGCAGGCGCGCCTGCGTCAGCACCAGCCACAGCCCCGCCACCGCCTGCCCCGTGCCCAGCACCTGCGCACCCGGAGGATTTATAGGCAGCCACAGCTCAACTACTGCCTGCCCCGTGCCATGCATGTGCACGCCCAGAGTATGCCCAGACCCGCCACAACAAGACCCGCGCCCAGCACGTGCACTTTTAACTGCGAAGAACGCGTTAACCCTAGGTTACAAAGGCGCCCTACACCAAGCATTAATACAAAGGCTTAGTCTGGCAGATTACTTTTGGGGAAAATAAAGGAAAACTAATTTTTACAATGATACGCTACATTTAAGAGAGAATTACAAAATTACTTTTTAAACGGTTTTATAGATACACCTCAATGACTTGCCTTTCCAGCAGACACTAGCTTGGTGCTGTGCACCCATGGCTTCTGACGAGCCTCCGCAGAAGTATCTCCTCACGCAGACTTTGTAATGATTCATATCGTCTCATCATGGTTGCTAAATGTTCAGAATAACACTTAAATGCTACAAAACAAGAATTTTGTATTCATTCTTAGCCAATCAAGTCCCAAAAAATATCACTGGCGCAACTACAAAGGCATAGTGTTTTGCATGACACTTGTTAAAATAGGGAATACTGGATGTAGGCACACGCGCAACGATTCGTGATATCATTGGCCAGACACCCAGTGAAGGTAGGCAGAGTTTGAGAACCGGCGCGTGAGGCGAAGGGGGTTTGGGGACGTGTGACGGACGGCGCCTTTGCCATCGAGGGTGAACGTCGGTGCTTCAACCGAGTGTCGCCGCACCAGCAGGGAGCCGCAGAGCACGAAGAGCGCGCTGCGCGCGAGGAGGGCCACGCAGTCGAGGGGCGCGGAGGCGCGGCGGCGCGCGCGCGCGTCCAGCAGCGAGCCGCTGGGCCGCCCCCACAGGGACGACGCGCTGCGCCAGC